CCTAAAGTTTCAGCCTTTCAGCTCTTCTGGTTGCCGAGTTAGTAATTTTCCTGCAGAAACTTTCATATGCCCACACATGAGTACTATTCATAGTTGCGGGCTGAATTTGAAATATTTGAGTTGTACTTCTATAGGGAACATTCCTTCAAAATTTCATCTTTCTAGCTTTCCTGGTACCCGAGTTAGCAATTTTCCCCCTAAAACTTTCATATGCTCTTAAATAAGTATCACGCACACCTGGGGGGGTGAATTTGAAATCTTTAGCTAGTACATGCACAGGGAATATTCCTTCAAAGTTTCAGCCTCTTAGCTCATGTGGTTCCCGAGATCGCTTTCCCGCCAAAAAATTTGCATGTCTTTTCAAAGCGTCCGTACGCGGCACTCAGGCATCCGAGGGGGATGAAATTAAAACGGTCGCGCATGGTGTAGGCACGTATCCTCAGTTTCAGCCTTCTAACTTTTCTGGTTCTCGAGTTGAAAGTGGGTGACAAAAAAGGCGAACACACAGACACGCACACACACACACTGACGCCTCTTCCCAATATGCGTTTTTGCAATTTACATATACGCAAAAACGCATAAAAACGCATAAAAATATCGCGAGCTAAACTGAACTGTGTGCCAGTGTCTATGTCAAACCAGATAACTCGAGTCTTCGAGAAAACGAAGCTTGGGACTCAAACTGAAGTCCGAAATTAGCGCATTGCTTCCTCGAGCGCCAGTCACTGACTAGGGATCTGCATCTCATTACTGTGATGATTCATTTAACAGAAGTGCAAAAAATTCTCTGCCTTTTCAGTTGCACTTGAATGTGTTAAGACTCGCTGCAAAGAGTGAGATCGCGAAATGTGCACTACATATTCACAAGCTGCAACATTTCTATTTGTCTAAAACAGTTTGTGAGTCTAAAATTTCTGAGGCGAAACGATCTGACAGCAGCATAATTAAAAGAAAATTGCAGTGTTCGGGGCATTCGCTTCGCCTGCTAGACAGGTGTAACTGACAGCATTTTCGTACTTGAAAGGTCTGGGTTGCTTTAAGTGTGGAGCAATGTGAAGGACTATAGTGATTTCGCGGAAACTGATTTGAACAACGAATTTACACAAGACCTGCCGTTAACTGGCTTAATTGCACTGGTGATACTGCAGCGCAGGGGCGAAGGACGGGTCATTCCCCAACAGTTCCGAAGAACAGAGCTGGTTTGACTTTTGCGAAGAAACAGGAATTTATTTGGGCTGAGGAAAGTCCTTACAGGCTCATTGTGTTTTGCTCCTTTGAAACAACGGTTTTTGTGCTAGCACCTAGAATTTGTGTGATGAGTGGGCTAACCGCGAGAACGACGGGGCCTCCACCAACTTTTGCTGTGATTGGAGCAAATTGCTGCTGAATGCGATCGTATGTGATATAAAAATCCTTTTTCTAGGCTGAAATGCACAATGATGAAAGTCTTACCCATATATAATTCTTTTCCATCTTCTTGTCCAAAGTGCGGTTTTCTTCGGGAAGATTGCCGTTATCATCGATTTGCATTTTCCCTAAGCGATTTGGCGCCGCTTCCTGAATAATATCGGTGCAAAAATGAATGTAATAAAAATTGTAGGTGAAGACACCAAACTCTGTCTTGATCTACGGTTTCTCATCAAACAGCTGCCGCTAGCGGAATTGCTAAACGGAGTGTACCGAGAGTCTGAATGCTGGTAATTTTTACATGTGGAATGGTCCAGAGGCGGCGATGATGCAGTGGCACGTTTCGGAGCGCATTTTTGGGCACGTACTGACCGTCAACTCGTCTTGCCCATTTCGTTTTTCGGGAATGTGGCTGCTCCCAACATCATGGCATTTTTCGCAAACAGATCTACCATTTGCTGGTGTGCAAATACCGTTTTTTCACATAGGTATTTTCATCGACCCAAAAGCATTCGATGATACTCAGATTAGCTGTTAGGGAGAAAAAAACTGCGTCAATCTGGTTCCAGCAGATCCCACTTCTATCGATGGAACAAAAAAAGATGCACATATTACACAGCTTGCGTAACGGGCGCTTCGTCCAGGATGCGTTGC